AATAAATGCAGCAACAAGACAATAATAACATAACAGGTCACCAATTTAACATGTTTAGCTCTATAACATTTAAATGCACCTCTCCAATGTCTACAAGAAAAAACATTTAATGAACATTTTTTAATGTATGACCTGCATCACTGTACAGAAGACTGCCATATGATAGCGCTTTCTAGCTTGTTTGTCGTTTTGGTAACTACATCAAAATTACCGCTAGGAGGACATAAATCACGCCATCTGGGGGAAAATCACCCGGCTTTTTCAAATCACAAGAGAATGTGTACAAAAAAACAAAAATGGCGTCCGCAACGCTTCTGGGTCGTTTTCATCGATTGTCGGTGATTTTAAAGTAATTTTGAGTGATAAATAATTTTTTTGCGATCATTGTACTCTTCCAACAATAAAAACGACTTGCCCCGGGAGATCGGGCGATGGTTAACATGGAGCCCTGCATGAAGTCTATCTCAGTCAGACCTGTGCAACCGTATCAGGTGTGATCATCACCAATGGCTTTAAATGAGTGCTAAACGCCACGACCTCGTCCGACACGATTTTCTGTCTGATCGGACACAATTGGATTGGGTGTTCTGGCCTGAAGTGAAGCTTGTAGTGAAGATTCTACAAGCCGCCAAACGTCAGCAGATGGGTGTCGCTGTTAGAAGTGACCCTTGCATGAATCGAGTGAAGGGACTGGAAGCAGCTTCCATTAGATGCCGTCTAACTGAGGTCTCTATGCTGATCATCTAGTTTTGGTTTGAATGTGCAGATCTAAGGCTGCAGTGTTCTGGGTCCAACTGCTGGTTCTGAAACAAACTCCTGATTCTGTTTACTTTCTTAAAGCTATTTTTATAGTCAGCTTTAGGAATAACTATCAAACTAAACATTTTCGAGAGCCCAACAGCAGAGCAAAGAGGAATCTTTTAAAGATGTTTTTATCTGGTGCTTAATAAGTTAGAAATGTTTGTGTTTTTCCAACAGCCTTTCAGAATATGAACTCTAAGAGGAAAGCAGAAACCTGGAAGAGGAACAGGAGGCAGCTGGTAGGTCTGAACTCGGCTCTCGCTGCACCTCATTTGCATTTTGGTTACATGTTACAGGAAGTGGCACTTTGAGCTGATGACTGTCATGACAAGACTGCACACCTTTTTATTAAACCTAGTTTATCTTCTTTTAAAGAAACCAAAGCACAAATTGTCTAAAACTGAACAAAGAAGTGTGTGGTCTTAAAAATGTAATCTCACGTCTCATCAGAGTTGGTTGATTGTGTTTAGTTTAATCTGGCTGTAAATCTCTATTTAACAAACTGCAGATTTTCATTAAACCAAGCATGGAGTAAAAAAGATTGATTTATACGGGACCTTAACCAGTTCATTTCAAGGTTTATCCACATTTACTGTTTAAACTGCAGGGTTAATAAGCACAGTTATCAGTGAGATTAGTCTCTAGGGCTTAAACAATTAATCAGATTAATCGATTATTAAAATAATCGGCAACTAATTTAATCAATTAATCCTTAACTGGAGTGTAGAGACTCTTAAACATGCCTTTAGCTGACAGAGGGACCCATTTAGAGCAGTAATCATACCAAAATTATTACAAAGAAATGTATAAACATTTTGCATTTTAGATAAAAAAATTGTTCAACCAATATGCTCCATCCAGAACTCCTCACGTGGAAAAGTTTTAGTTTCACCTGGTTTATTTAAGTCTTCTTTGAGGAACCTTTTGTTATACGATTATTAATAGATTCATCAAAAAAATAATCAACGGATTAATCGATTTGCAAAGTAATCGTTAGTTGCAGCCCTAAATGTCTCAGTCAATACGAAGCTCCAACATATGGTTTCTACAGCCAGGGCTTATTTCAGGCAGTGCCACGTCTAGACAAACATGTCTGTGTTGCTATGGCAACATGCTTTAAAATATAAAGTTTTATCACGGTCGATTCTGCAGCGTTCCCACCACTAATATTAACGTAGAGCCTCTGTGAAACTGGTTGTGTCTCTCATACCTTCAGACACCGGCACAAAGCCTTTAAGGGCTTCTTTGTAGTAAGTAGGTGCTGTATGACAGGATGACCCAAGTTCCCACTTGGTCAAAGTAAAATCTGAAGGCCACAAAAGATCAAAACGATTGATTTGATTCCTTTACTCTGAGGCATAAGCCCTCAAGATGGAGCTTTGGAGAACTTTGTCGAAGTTCTTTATGTTTAATGTTGTTCCAAACAAAGTTCTCCCTAGAACCAATAAGAACAAGTCATGACAAAGACGGTCATCAGTCACAAAACTAAACCAAGGCCTTTAATGTTTTAGTGGTTTCATTTTTTTTTTTATTTCCTAACTCGCTCTGTGTTGTTTTAACTTAACCTTACAGGCTCACCATGTAACTTTTTGCCACTAGGGGCGCTAGACCTGTAACTGCCCGAAAATAATAAATATATATGACTGTATACCAGGAGCAAAGTGGTAACTTAGCAGTCTAATAATAAAGTTGAGAAAAGAGAATCTGTTTTACTTTTGGCTTCTTCTTTCAGCCTGCGCCAACGAACAACACCTTTCCAACATCGACTTTTGTTTTTTCTCTCACAGAATCCCTTTCATGTTTTCTCTTTTTAGCCTCAGAAGGTTTAAACTTTTTTTTTTTTTCCTCATCCATGACAAGTAGTAGAGCCGGCTGAAAAATAGTAGAGCAAAAGTGTTTGCTCCATGACGCTATAAGAGCCTGCGGCCATAAAGCAATACGTTCTTCCAGGTCACATGACCTGACCAATGACTGTGCGTCTTCTCCCAACTTACATAGTTGGTATTTCAAGAGGGGAGCCCCACTCGTAGCATTGATAGTGTTAAGTGCTGTATATTAGTAATTATTTAAAATAACTTATGCGTCAACTCTGTAGGTCACAAAGATCGCTGCTTTAAATAAAGTTCACTGACAAATAAGGTTTAACAGAAGCTGACTGTTAGGAGATGGCGTTGTCTGCTCACGCACGCTTTGTTATCAGAGAACCGAGCCAGAACTGAACCGCGCCGAGCCCTGGCAGTGAACTAGTACCAGTTTAGTGCGGTTTGGTTGTGTCTGGCGCGGTCCAGCTCGTTGTGCGTTTACATTCAACAGTTACCTTGGTGTAAACGGGGCTAATACCTCCTGGTGGTCTCTTTGCTCTCAGGCCTTTTCCACAGTGGGAACCCCAGACTACATCGCTCCAGAGGTCTTCATGCAGAACGGCTACAACAAACTGTGTGACTGGTGGAGCCTTGGTGTGATAATGTATGAGATGCTGATAGGTAATGTCGGAACAGTCTCTGCTTTCTTTACCTTGTTGGTGGGTTTTTGGATCGGACATGGAGACTAAACGGTTTGATAACCTCGCTGCTCCAGGTTACCCTCCGTTCTGCTCGGAGACGCCTCAAGAGACCTACAGGAAGGTGATGAACTGGAGAGAGACGCTCACCTTCCCTCCAGAAGTGCCAATATCAGAGAAGGCTAAAGACCTCATCCTCAGGCAGGAGAACAGAGCCTCTACTATGATTTGTCCAAATGTCTCATAAAATCATGTCGGTAATAAACCTCATTTGTTTTGTGCAGGTTCTGCTGTGAGGAGGAGCACAGGATTGGAGCTGCGAGTGTGGAGGAGATAAAGTCCAACCCTTTCTTTGAGGGCGTGGACTACGACCATATCAGGTGAGCAGTTTGACTCTGAAGCTGGAATCCAGGAGCTCGTCTCCGTCCCATTTCCCTGACCTCTCTCCTGGTTCCTGCAGGGAAAGACCCGCCGCCATTCCCATCAATATCAAAAGCATTGATGACACATCCAACTTCGATGAGTTCCCCGACTCTGATATCCTCACTCCAACAAGTAAGCCATTTTGTGGTTATCACCTCCAGGATTATTCAGATTAAAATATTTAATTCCTCCTTTTTCTTTTTCTTTTCTTCAGCCACCCAAGTGTCCAATCACACCGAGACGGATCTGAAGAACAAGGACTGGGTCTTCATCAACTACACCTACAAACGTTTTGAGGGTTTGACGGCCCGAGGAGCCATCCCGTCCTACATGAAATCAGGAAAAAGATGAGCTCCTTGTGACTGTCCCATAGCGACGCCCAGATGAGGCGTCCGAGCTGCTGCTGTGTCCAAACAGACGTCCGCTCGGTTATCAGAGCGGATCCACGGCGCAGCTCTTCCTCATCGTCGCTGTCCATAGGAACCTTCCTCCAAACTCGCTGCCTTCACTTTGTTTAAAGCTTCTGAGGGTACCTCTTCACTTTCTGACAGCACAGACTGAACTGGGATCAGCAGGTTTTCTTAGTTTTGCACCATCGGATGGTATCGTTTGTCTCCAGATAACCAGCATCATTTACATTCCCTCTCTGTACCAGCGTCATTCTGTTGGATCTACCAAGGGCTCTTCTTGTGGCCCAGAGCGTTCTCTGCTTCACGCGTTCTGGGGACTTTATCAGCTCAAATAATTGCATTTTCACTTGGAGTGAACCAGCTGCTCTTCAGGGATTCGGACTCCTACATCACCTCACCAAAGACTCAATGACGTCTCTGCCTGATCTTCCTCTTGGAACTTTTTCTAACTCCAAGTTCGTATTTTTTCTAGAGCCCAGATTTGCACGATTTGCTCTTTAACAGATGATTATGCATTTTGTGGAACAAGTCTTGTTACATTTTGTGATGAAGCATGTGACCTTCAGCACCAGAGGCGATGGGGATGAAACTTCTGCACTCTTCCAGCCTGTCGGATCCGGTTTAGGTTCAAGTGTTTGGAGTTCATGATGCTCCAGAATCTATTTTCAAAGACGACCTTTTAACAATTTGGTGGATTTCACAGATAGTTTAAATCAGGCAGCAGTTGAAATCTTCAAGAAGATGAAGGCGCTGCTATAAATATAAGAACGTCTTTAAATTGCTTTTATTTTTTATGTTGTAGTCCGAGTGAGATAAAGTTTGCAAATCAAAACAGAAATTTGAAAAATATTCCAAGAATATTTCTTAAACAGATTTATCAAAGACAACAGATCCCAGAACAGCTTGTAGAGAACTGAATTAGTTTCGGAGATTAAACGGCTTAGAAAGCTGCAGTACGCGTAGGAAACCTTCCAGCTGATGCTTTTCAGACGAAGAACTAATAAAACCTGCATAGGGCTCACATGTGAACCTCTGAACTCGCTGGGAGGATTTGTAAGAATGGTTTCAGTTTGATCAGTTCAGAAACGGCTAATTGGGGCTGAGAATACTTTAAAAATCATTTAGTTTAAAATAAGATGTTTTGACCCAAAATATAAGTTGATTGACTAAAACTGAAGAGAGGTAGTGTTAGGATCCAGGCTGACCCTAACACTACCTGAGTCTTAACCCGAGGCCGTGCCGCTCGCAGCGGGGCTGCGTTCGTTCAGGAAACCCAGGAATTAGCTGAGGTCCGATTGTGCTGAAGCGTCAGGGAGTCTTTTAGTTTCACCTGTTTTTGTTTCCGAGGAAGCTAACCTAATGATGCACCAACTAATGCAGTGGATGAGTTTTGTTTTTATTTGTTTTAAGTAGCACAGGGCTGAAAACTTTCCAACAATAAATCCAAGATGCTGTCCTATTTACAAATGAATGTAAATTAATTTCTGCAGATTGATTTCCTTTTTTTTTTTTTTTTACCCATAGGAGTTGAAATATGTTGCTGTAAATGAAGCCTGTACCACGTATTTTTTTAAATTTTCTTTGTAGTTGGACACTTTAAGCTATGATGTAAAACACCCTGGAAGCCCATTTCTGCCCGGAGACACCAGCAGACCTTTATCACCAAAAGATTTTATTTAACGTGTCAAATGTTTGACTTATTCTTTTTTTTAGCCCCTTTAAAAAGTGACAAAGAAAGCCAAATGCTTAGAAGTCGACAATCTGACATCCCAGGTTACGTAAAGAATGAACTTGAAGTGACCGGCTGCAGAAATGTATCTTTTATTCTGATTTCCAAAATTATTTTTTTTTAAATCTCTCTCCTGTCCAGCAGGAATGGTCTTCCATATCGGCTGCGTCTGTGATCGAGTGTGTTCAGGTAGCGTGTAGATGGGAAGCAGCACATTATACTACGTTTTAGAGAAGCATGTGGCGGGTGGAGCTTTTATTTAATTATATATATATATATTTTTTAAACTGCTTGTGCCGTTGAGGGGCTCACGCTCCTCAGGCTTTAACAAAACGGCAACATGTACGCTGAAAGCAATACAACATGGAGTGATTTCTGATCATGTGTGGCTGAGATTCTAGTCTCTGGGTTAAGATGGGGTGTCGATTTGTATGGAGTTTGTGTTTATTTTTTGGGGGGGGGGCAAAGTGTGCATGTAATGCTGCATCTGAGCAGGACGGATGGGATTATTTGGGAAGCTGAGTGTACAATATTTAAACTGCTTGGTATGTACTGTGTGACTGCTGTATTGTTTTCTGCTATTTGACAATGAATTATTCTGCACTTAATGTTGCCTCATGTCTTCATTCTGGGGGGGGGGGGGATTTATGTGACTGGAGAATCTAATATACCTTTTATTTGATCATTAAGCTATTCAAGAACCTTGATTTTGATTCAGGAACTTCCTGAATTTTAGTGATCGAAGTATCATTAAAATGATTCACCTTAGAGACTCCAAGGTGATGAATGCAGGAATTATGACTGTTTGGCCTCGTATGGGGAGGGACTGAAATGATGAGCAGTATTTGCATGAAGCTAGTCGGTAGAGGGAAGCAAAATGTTCTGATGTCCTGGTGGATGCCTGTGAACCGGCACCATCAGATGACATGGAGCCTCAAATCATCTCCATCTGGAAACTTCACCAGTTACCTCTAAACTCTTAGAGTCTGAACAGAATATAAATATCTTTTTAAGTCCAATCGGGAAAAACAAACTCATTTCAACATTTTACATTAAGCTGTGCAGGAGTAGATAAAAAAAAATTAAGGAAACATACTGTGCAGTTTATTTTAAAAAGGCATTTTTAAGTGTAAATGAGAAATGTGTCTGAAGTGTTAGGTCTATGCATGTGTCTTATTTCCAATCAAATCATCTTGGCTCATTTCTAAGACTATTATCTGATAGTTGCCAAACCATCCAGGACACAAAGGTACAACACACTGCATGCAGATGTACTTGGTTCTTCTTGACCAAGCAGCATCTTTGCATCTGTTGGTGGTTTTTGCTTCCTTTAACTGTGGCCAGTGGTTTCTGGGTGAGGCTTAAACACTGCTGGTGGTGGAGTAGAACTTGGTCACCCCTGCTGTGTATCTTCATGGATCCTGTGTGGTAAAGAGTACGAACTTTTGGCTCCTTGGAATGTAGCAGAACTTGGCTTCATTTCAAGACATTCTATAAAGGAGCCAGGCCTTCATTTATCAGATTAAGGAAGTGAAAGAACAGTCTGATGTACAAGCGTTTGTTTCTGTGTTGGTGAGGATGCATGGCAACACATTGATCCATGAGCTCTACTCCACCCATATGCTGCACTGCAAAAACAATCTAGAAATAAGCTCAAATGGTGATGATGTAAGCAGACCAAAACCACAGATGCCTGTGAGACGAATCAACTGCTGGAAAACTGATGCGGGCAAACTGGCCTTCTGTCAAACACCTTTAAAACTGATGCGCTGAAACTGATCTAACTTTTCCCCGGCGCTCCCAGTCTGAAAGGAGAGAAAAACCTTCACCTGAAGTCTGTTCACATGCACAAATGAATAACATTTTCCCTATTTAGATAGAAGTTTTTGGTTTGTGTTTTCAGTACAGGAGGCAGGACCAGTTCTACAGGGGCATTGACCCCTGACTAAAACCACCTATCACACTGTATCAACTGGAAAATCCATTTTTATTCCAAATAATCTGTATTTTATTTTGAAAAGTACAGTGGACGATCTCCCTCTGGCTTCAAGTTCCAGTGGGATCTTCTTCTCTGTTTTTTGTCCCACATGACAGTCACTGTAGCACTGATGCTTGAGCTCTTGATGTACATGTTCACTTCTAGTGTTTCTGTATCCATTCCACTCTGGTTTCAGCCATTCATTGTAGCTCCACTGCTCTCAATGCATGCTTCAAAAAACATCTGAGAGCCGCAAAAAGCAAACAGAAGAAAGAAATAAGACCAAATAAGAAATGGCTTCAGGAGAGATAAAACCAGATTATTTATGAGATTGGAGAAGAAGGTATGGTGCAGAATGTATGCAGCTATTCAGAAAGTGGTGTTTCCAACTTTCATTTGTGGAAAAATTATCCACTACACCTTTAATCAATTATTGCTCCTCATAGTATTGATATAATCATGCATTAATACACTTAATGGGTTTAGTAGTTTTTAATCTCTTATTTGCTTATCTAGCATCTTTATAAAATATGATTTCTCACCATCCTGGAGAGAAATATCAGCTGTGCTGCTGCCATCAACACCTTTATTTATAGTTGTTGAAGATCGGCCTGTTTTTCAGTGTAGTCCTGTTTCTCTGACTGTGACTGGCTGGATGCGCTCTCTACATCCTCTGATGTGGGAGCTGACTCGGAGCTTGTCTGTTTCCTGGACGGGGCCGCCTTTTACAGCTGCCTGTTGTATCTCTGCTTCTGTCTCCTTGAACCCCAGTCAGCCTCAGCAGATGGCCGCTCACACTGAGCCTGGTTCTGCTGGAGGTTTCCCCGTGTTAAAAGGGAGTTTTTCCTCTCCACTGTCGCTACAAGCATGCTTAGTTTGAGGGATTAACTTTAAGTTGATGCAATCAACTGGTTTTCCTTAGATAGAAATATTCTAATCAATCTGACTGGATGATCTTTTGAACTGTAAAGTGCCTTAAGATGACCTTTGTTGTGAATCGGCGCTATAGAAATAAACTGAATTGATTTCAGAGCAATCCTTCAAATATTTAGTGCCACCATTTTCTAAATCATTTCTGATCACCTATAAACTAGAGTCCAGAGTCTATGCTGAAAGACAGCGGTCGCAAAATATTCAAAGCAAACGGTTAAAGTGTATTTTCCTCTCACCTGATGGTGGCAGTGTAATCTCACGGTTTCCTGTCTAAATCTGGATTAATCTCTGATGTCCTAAATGCTACATTCATCTCATGGCTTCAGGAGAGATATTTTCATCATTAAGCTACAGCATTCAGCTTTCTATCCTAAAGGGCCCCATGCAGGAGCTGTTCCCTTCATCCAGTCAGGCCCACCTGTTGGATTGAACGGACTCTGGAAAGGGCTTTGAGAGGATGTGCTGTAAAGACGCACTGTAAAAAGTAATATTGATAAGAGACCTTCAGGAAATGATCATGATCAATTCTCAGAGGCATGAGGACAGAGAAACAGTGTGACACAAAGAGTCAGAGAATCCACATTTAAAACATGTCCTTGGTTTGCTAATGGCCACATCTAAGTTTCAGGCCTAAGAGACATCTGCCAGGTTTCCCACCGTGCTACTGCAGTCTTTAAAGGTAAAAATGGATTTTGTCTGTGATATGAAATTATCTATTAAAACAAACTACCAGGTTAAAAAAACTGAACTACTTTTAGTCCCCCTCCCCCTTATTAGGAATCCCTCTAAGAACAGTTTCAGATCCAGCACACATTTCCACCGTCAGCAATGTTCTCCAGAATGACGGGCGCCATCATGAGAGGGAAAGTGTGCTCCAGACGGCTCTATAAGCTCATTAATAGACTGTTTGATGCCAAACAATATGAGCGTGGAGACAAAGGAAGCTGGATCTACAACCAGAGGACAGTGACTCAAACTAAAGGCTCATTTTTATTTGATTATGATGTAATGATTCATTGCATAAAATGAGACTGATTTTCCTTTAACTTCCCCACATTGATGAGCTGATGGGATCCAGTAGAAGTTTTTGCATTTTGGAAGCTTTTTACCAAGTTTCTGTCTCCTTTATATGCTCAGATGGAAACGGATTAGTTTAGCATTTGACCGCTAAGATCACCTGTTAAAAGAAAAGTCAGCTCAATTTCAGAATTCAGACTTCTTAAAGTACTTTAGAACTGACTTTTGTCAGTTTCACTATAGCTCTGGTGAATTTCAATGGTGAAGTCCTCTGGAAATCTTCAATAATTGTTGATTGCAGATGTGTCTAGTAGTTCCCATTGATTTTGCTTGTAAAGCGGGGAGAATGACGCTTATTGCGACAAAAATTATTTTTTTTTTTACTGATTAACGCTAAATTAATTAAATCACTGTGTGAATGTATTAGTTTTAGATAACGATCCATTGATTATTCCTTGCTGACATTCCCTTTAATGTTCATGACTTCCTGCCATCCATTAAAATCCACTTTCTTGCAGATACAATTCAAAAACCTGAGAACTAAAAGCTGTGCACTGCAATAAAGAAGTTTCCATTTCTGAAGTTAGATCACCTTCATGTTGATAAAGTTTTTATAATCTTAGAAGCAGCCAAAATTCCTAGAGGTGCAGAAAGTCCCTTTATGCTTCCTTTAAGATTGATAATCTCAGAACGATCAGATTCTATTAGATCACTTCTCTTCTTTTAAGATTCAACTAAATAAAAGCAATAATCTGTACTTAGTAAAATGTGCTTTTGGGAATATGCAATCATGATTTCAGGTTAGATGAAAGTTTGTGCAATCATTTTTAAATAACTAGGAGAAAAGAAAAGTCTGGAATTCTGACAGTAGAAATGACAAAAGATAACGACTAAAAAGAAAAGATGACGTTAATATATTTATTAACATTATGCAACATTAGATTGATACAATCCAAAACAGTTCTTTAAATCTGGTTCCCTTTATAAGAGAGTCTCAGCAGGCAGCATTGTCCGTTATAGTTGTATTTGTAGCTGAAGCTGAAGTTCTAGCTGTAGTTCCTGAGGAACACCAGTCTGTGAGGCAGAAACTTTTCCCGACATAAAGGACACTCAGCCTGGAAAGATAGAACACAAACACAGTGATGATTCTGTTTGAACATAAATTCATTTCATTTTTTAAACTGAACTGCCAGAACTGCTCAGCAATGACTCAGCACATTTGTGATCCTAAAAAACACAGTAACTATGGGAGTTTTTATGAACAGAAATATCACTTCTTCCACTAGTAACAGGCTCAAGTAGCGTCGTTTTTTTTTCTATTTCTGGGTCAAATATTCAACTGCACATTAAACTTAAAGTTAAAATTTTGAAGAAAGGTTTCTAGATGTCCTGAGTTTTAAAGCTTTCCTCTCCTCCTTTTGGTGCTCTGCTTTGTGGGAACATCAGCTGGGCTGCTTCAGTAGCTGATGATAGAGTTGAGCCGTTTTTTCAGTGTTTGGTCCAGTTTCTCTCTTAAGGCCATAACACACTGGTTGTGGTTGTGTACGACAAACCTGCTCTGTCTGCCCCTCTTTTGTTTTTTTCTGAGACTCAAAGAGAATCACTACTTTTTCTGTCCTCTCAAACTATTATGGGTAAAGCTTTCTATTTAAATATTTCATTCATTGTTTTTGCACGAGTCTGTTTTTACTATACATGCGATGTGCGACTCTGAAAAGTGAACATTTTCCTGTGCGATAAAAAGATAATCATTTGCGTCTCTCTTCCTGTCAGACCCACTGAATTGCTGCATATTCTGATTAAAACAGACAGTTCTATGAAACGTCACGACCTCGTCCGACACGATTTTCCATCGGATCAGAAGTAAAATCAGATTTGGTGCGTTCTGGCCTTTAGACATACCGTATTTTCACAACTATAAGGCGCACATAAACGTCTTTTTTTCCCCTCAAAATGTGCGGTGCGCCCTATGTGTGTTGTAACTGCGACTTTTGAGACCACCTCATTGAGGAGATAATGAAAGAGTGGCTGAGGGAGGTGTATGTGAGGAGACCAGGTGGTTTTTTCCACGCATCACCATCGCTTTTAATATGTGACTCCATGCGTGCCCATCTCACAGCTGATGTGAAAAACATGGTGAAAAAAAATAAACGCTGTGCTCGCTGTTATCTCGGGGGTCTGACAAAGGAACTTCCACCGCTCGACATCGGTGTGAACCGGCCGTTCAAAGTAAGGCTGCGAGCGGCGTGGGAGCGATGGATGAAACACGGAGACCACAGTTTCAGGATAAGTTTCAGGCAGCGCCGGGCAAGTTACGCCACCGTTTGCGGATGGATTGCAGATGCTTGGACTAACGTGTCTGCTGGCTCTGTTGTTCAAGCTTTCGCAAAAGCCGGCATTATTTCTGAGGAGCCGCCCGGCACGGAAAGTGACTCTGACAGCGAAGATGGGGAAATTGGGATGTCTGATTTAGCGCAGCTGTTTAATTCAGAAACAGAGGATGATGACTTTGATGGGTTTGATTAATACTTTGTCATAAATACTTGAATAAAGCACAATCATACTCAGTTTTGCTCCCGCTCTATTTTTCTACCTCAAAACTTAATTCAACAGCAGCCTCTGGGCGGGTCTCCTCCTCTTCACCGCGGCTGCTGGCAGGTGTTTTTTCATCTAAATAATCTTAATCTTGCAGCTATATTTGCTGTGATCAGTAGGAATAAAGTAGTTTTATGTTTTTAAGTGAGAAAGTCCACCTGAAAACTTCATAATTGCAGTCAGTTCATCCAGATTATCTATTTCTGTCGGAGGCGCTCAGACCCCGACATACCAGCGGTACACCAACAGTAGAGATCCCTTCATCAGCAGCCTCTAGGCCGGGTCGCCTCCGGGTTCACGCGGCTGCTGGCAGGTGTTTTTCATCTAAATAATTTTAGCTGCAGGCACCAGGATACCGGTAATAAAAGCGAACATATTCTGTCGGCAGGTTTCAGGATTTTAAGTTAATTTAGGAGTGATCACAGCGCTGTGTCATCTGCGATGTGTCTGTCTCACGGCCAGCTCCCAGGTTTGATTAATACTTTGTAATAAATACATGAATAAAGCACAGTCATACTCAGTTTTGCCCCCGCTGTATTTTTAAATACGCAGTAGAGGTATTTAAAGGTAGTAGAGGACATGTACCTGTATATAAAAACGCGCCCTATAGTCCGGTGCGCCTTATGTGTGTGTTAAATACAGAAATGGGACACATAACCGAGACTGCGCCTTTTAGTACGGTGCGCCTTATGGTCGTGAAAATACGGTAGATACAGGCTCTATTCTTACAGCACCCAGCTCTAATCCTACCCGTCTCCTGAAAACCAACTTAGAACTCCTCTGAAACGTTTTCTCTTCCAGAGAGAGCTGGTTTACTGCTGATAGTATTTATGTATCAGAGTTCCTTTGTTCCGTTTATGGGCCTGCCTCCGTCAATCTGTCAACAGGATCACATCTTTCCCTGATATTGTGCAGCAAGACAGTTTTGCATATGCAAACTTTTTTCCTTATCTTAAAATGGGGAGAACAGGAAATAAAAGGGGTGTCAGCGCTGTGACTGCACTTCACTGGTTGAGACTGGAACCTGGAACGGCCTGTTTCAGGACTAAAGCCTCCAGACAAGGTTGGCAGATTGACACGTCCCTCTGGATCAGCTGGTTTTAAAATCAGCTTCTCACATTCAGAGGATTTATTTAACCCGCTGGAATTTAAAATGGGGAAACTCCCGTATTGTGAATGAAAATCCTGTCTTCTTGCTGAAGTGTGAAGCTTTTTTTGTCACCATACTGAATGATCAAACAGGCGCATGCATAAAGAAAGAAGATCTGAGGAAGCACTCGGCTCCTTCAGTCAGATCCATGTGGCAGACAGCAAAGCAGGAGCCTTTCTGTAGCTGTACTTCCTTCATGCTGATTCCTTGGATCTTCCAGCAGAAAGTCTCACCTTAGTGTTGCACCACTCTGTGATGCACTCCCAGCAGAACAGATGCCCACAGGGGGTGGCAGTAGAGTTTCTACGGGCTTCCAAGCAGAGGATGCAGCGGGCAGCTAGAGGGCTGGAGCTCTGTGCTGTTTGCTGAGGACTGATGGCACAGTTCAGCATTACATGAGGAACTTCTACAGCAGTGGTTTGATTGTGATGCATCAGATGAGGTCCTTGTGGAGATCTACCTGAGGTTTCGGTGGATCTTCCACTCCTGTCTGGCTCTCTGTCGTTGTCTGAAGCTGTTGAGCTGTAGACTGACAGTGATGAGCAGCTGGAGGAAGGATACGGTTCCCAGCAGCCTGTAGCTCCTCCTGATGCTGGAGTCATCTCCTTTTGGCTCCATCACACGCAGCTGAAGCCGAACACAGAGCAAAGCTCAGAAACGGGTTGGATAATTAAGAAACGGGTTGGATAATTAACAGATTTTTCTGTTTGTGGAGATTTAAGATTTTTTTTCAACCAATGTTCTCACTGGGCTTCCGTAGCTCAGACTAAATACCAAGACTACCAAGAAGCAGGATTACTGAGTCAGCAGAACAACATAAGCCTCAACTCTGACTTTCTGGTACCGGTACTATGAAGCTGGGTTCAATCTCAGGAAGGCTAGTTACCATGGTGACATACTCTGAAAGGCAAACCGGTGGTGGCGAGCTTTCAGGATTGATCTGAATCCACCCTGCAGCCAATCAGCTGTTAGGAAAACATGACGCGATCTTTCATTGAAGAACCAATTGAATTCAGAGAAGAAAAAGAACTTAAAACAACAAAAAATCATTATTTTCAACATTACAATAAAAAAANAAAAAATCATTATTTTCAACATTACAATAAAAAAACTTGAAAACTAAAAATCAGTTAAAACAAAATGTGTTATTGACAAATGTAACAGTCAATTCAGTTATTTTTCCTCCTTCTTCTTTAATATTCTGTATTTGTTTTCCCCTTATTAATCTCCTTATACACAGCTGCCACTCACTTATTTCTTGTATAATTGGTATATAAAGCTAAATAAAAAACATTTTAATTTTGAAAATTATTTTATTTGGTAAAATTAAAAGTAATGGGACCGGAAGTACAGGAACCGAAAAAGAAAATAAATTGGCAGATAAACAAACCAACAAACATGAATAAGGGTACGGCACTTTTACACGGCCATTTTCATTTTAAAGTTCTTTCAGATGGCGCAGTCGACAGAAGCAAAGTTATTTGTAATCACTGCAAAGTTGAATTGTCTTATCACCTGAGTACTTCGAGTCTAAAATATCACCTAAATGCTAAACACACAGTTGATACCAGCAAATCATTTAACGAAGCAGACAGTGGCGCGAGGCTTCAGCAGACTACGTTAGAAATATAGATAAACAAAGGCAAGAGAAGCTAACAAATGCCGATTAATATATTTACAGACTTTTTCCCTGCACAGTAAATCCCAGCAGTGAACTTTTTTTGTGCTTCACCTCATTCTAACAGGGACATTTGGTACTAGACTGGTTATGCTGCTCCCTGATAAAAAAAAAAAATAATGTTTCTGCTGTTACCTCAGAAATTGCCTGTTTAATGTTATGATTGTGACTCAGGATTTTGTGGGCAGCTTTTATTTAACTGCTACTGAATAAACAAAATGCTGATGTTAAGTGTTTGCAGAACAAATGTTATGGCACTTCCTTTAATATGGCAGAACATTTTAAATAAAATTGTGCTATACACTACTTTTGAATTCATTATTGTTTTTTTGCGTATAAAAATGTGATTAATCACAATTAATCAGGGAAATCATGCGATTAAAACTTTTAATCGTTGACCAGCCCTAGTTTTTATCCTTTGTACGGTGACCTTGAGTGTCCAGAAAGGCGCCTTTGAAATAAAATGAATTGTTATTATTATATAAATTAGAGCTCAAAAAGCGTGGGAAGATCCTTTGGATCACTGTGATAATTTGAGCAATTTAGGTTTTCCCAAGCCAGGACCATCAGATATGCCGGATCATAGAACCGTGTGTTTAATGTGGGACCTGCAGGTG